AAGCAAACAAAAAAAGGCCAAAGTCTTTTGTAAGTATCATCTGAATCAGTTATGTGTGAGATTCAGAGTGTGATTCATTCTGAGGCAAATTGCTCTTACGTTGAAATGGAACAATCAAACAAGTAATATACTTTCCAATTACAATGCAGGACAATATAGAATAGACCTTCCTATTCCAAAGGAGCAAACTAGGAAAGAAATGAATCAATCCAAGACCTTAAGATTTCAGAATCACTTTTAGTTTATTGCTTTGCCCCTGAGGCCCACTGGGGCACAGATCCTATCCCAGCACTTTGGATGACCCTGCCCCCTTGGCTTTGCTGGTCACAGCCCACATTACAGCTTTCTGAGGCTAGAATGGTACACCTGTGGATCTACTGACCTGAAGTCCCAGGGGCAGCCCCATTCCCATGGCTTTGCTGAGTATTGCTGTAATGGGTGTCTCTGCATTGGCCTCCACCCCTACCACACTTCTCTATCCAAGCACCACCAAGCTCTCAGAGACATCTTTTGAAGTCCAGGTAGAAGTAGCCATGGCCCCACAGCTTTACTTGACCTGGAGCAATCACACCAGGGCCCTATGGTAGTCACACCAGGTGTGTCTGTGAGTGTGGAAACAGAGTTTGGGAAGCAAAGCTCCCAACTTGAGGCAGTGCTGGGAGCTGGGGGTTCCTCCTTTGATATGGGTTCTCTCCTGCAAACCCTGGCACTATGGGCCTATATGGGAGTGGCAGCCCCCTCTCCCTATGGGAAGTAAGAAATGACTTCAGGATGCTTTCTCATTATCTTGGACAATAGGCCCTTTATAAGGTTGCCTAATCTCCTTCATTGTGTTAATGAGTAACTTTTGGCTTCCCTCGAGACAGTTGATCCCTTTATCAAAGCAATCCTTGGCCATACCTATGTTCTCTTCTAAGCAGGTTTTTCTCATTTTTTTTCCTAGTAGGTGCAAGCTGGAAAAAAAAAAATTCAATTGTCCTGTTTTCCTTCATTTTTGACTAGAAATTCTATTTTAAAATATTCTTAGGCCTGTGAGATGGCTCATCAAGTAAGGGTCCCTGCCACTAAACCTGATAACCTGAGTGTGATCCCCAGGACCCATATGGTGGAAGGAGAAACTACTCTGCTCTCTCTCTCTCTCTCTCTCTCTCTCTCTCTCTCTCATGCACACATGCACGTGCACACACACACACTTGCACACACTAAACAAATGTTTAAATTTTTTTCTCTTTTTGCATTTTACTATAAATGTCAACAAGAAAAAGAAATTTCCTCAACTATCCAATTTCATCACAAGTTTGACCTTCAATAAAACACTAGTACAAAAACAAGATTCACTTAAACTCACTGCTGTTTTATTACAAAGTGGCCTGTTTTCTACAGACCAAATAATGCATGTTCCTCAATTCCATTCAAAAACCTCATTGGAATGGCCTTCCCCATCTAAATTTCTGCTGCCAATATTCTGTTCAGAGCCACACTTACGGTATTGAGATCTCCTCTCCCCCGCCCCCCCCCCTTTTTTTTCTTTTTGGTCACAGAAGCATACCATTCAATATGACTTTCCTATGTTAGACTGTTCAGACTGTTACATAACAAAATAGCATAAGCTGGGTGCCTTATCAAAACAGAAATTTATTTCTCACAGTTTTCATGACTGGGAAATTAAAGCTTAAGGCACCAGCAGACTTTTGTCTAGTGAGAACTTCCTTATAGATATATTTCCCATATAGCTGAAAGGTTTTGGGTTTGGAGTTCAAGGGAAACATTGAGGCAGTTTGTCCTTTGGGGTAAGAGATTTATTAGAGTTTTTAATTTTTAAATTATATTTACTCAGTGTGTATGTGTGTGTATGTGTGGGTACACACATGCCAGGACATGCAGGTGGAAGTCAAAGAACAATTTTCAGAAGTCATTTCTCTCCTTTCATCATGTAGGTTCTGGGATCAAACTCAGGTCAGCAGGCTTGGCAGGAAGTGCCTTTACTCTCTGAACCATCTCACTGGCCTTATTAAAGTTATTAATGCAATGGACATACAGACAATGGTATGGCAGCTCTGATGAGACTTCAGGCCCACAAGATAGAGTAAGGGTCCCTTCTCTTAGATCTCAGAGAAGGGGGGTTTCACGCTACATGGCTGATGAGTGGTCCACAGCATAGACCTGCAGCCAGGCTGTCCGTGATTCCTGGATGGTAGGAGGAGGATATCCTTCGTTCCAAGGAAGGAATGCGTGTGGGACTCTGAGAGTGTGGGGAAGTGAGGAGGAAAGCACATCTGTGTACCCACTATATCCATAGCCTTTTGATGTCCTGGGGTCTGGCAGCCTGAGGTCTGTGAACTTTCTTAGAAAAGTAAGAATGGCACCTGCAGTTTTCCTGAAATCAGGGCATCTCTTGAGTCTGTTAGGGGGTCAGAGATTCACAGACAGGTTCTTGGTAGGGAGAGTTGTCATTTCCTTTACAGGGGCTATTAGAAAGAATCTGCTACTCCCTAAGCAGTGGTCTGGTCTGGATTCTAACGATAACCTTACAAGATGGAAGAGGTGAATGAACTCCCTGGGGTCTCTTTTATAAGGGCACTAATCCCAGGTGTATCCATTCTACCCTTATGACCTAATCACTTCCCAGAGGCCCTACCTCCTCATAGACTGGCAGTTAGAATTTAAAAATATGGATTTGGGAGGGCACGTTCAGACCTAGTTTCATTCACTAGCGATTATTTTTGTTCCCTTCCCCCTCAGTCATGTGGGGGGAGGTATCATGAAAGAGTTATGCCAATAACAGATTCATATGTTTATCTTTGCATAATTTATTACATAATCTATATCAATAAACTTGGAACCCTCATCACTTTCTTTGGCTTTCCTTCACTGAGTATACCTCATTCATTTGACGTCATTGTAGGTCTCAGATTCCAAGGGTCAAGAGGGACACTGAAGCAGATTGTTCTTTTCTAAATAAGATATTTATTGAGTTATTAATGCCATAGATAGAAAGGCAGACATGGCAAGGGTTCTAAAGAGAGTTCAGGCCCACAAGGGTAAGCAAACGACTCTTCTTAGAGGTTTCAGAGGGAATGGGGTGGTCCCATGCCATATAATTGACAGGTAGCCCATAGCACATATTTGTGGTCAGGTTGTCTCTGGTTTCTGGGTTACAGAGGAAGGGAGAAAAATTTGGTCCTTTAGTTAATATGTGTTTATCATACAGGATCTGCCACATGAAGCCCTTAATAGCTTAAGGTGCTTAGAAAATGTCCCTTGGGGAAAGTGAGGAGTCTAGAGTCACAGCAACTGTGAGGGTAGAGACAAAAAGACCCAAGTAGCTGCTAGTACAAACCTAACAGCCATGATCCCCCAAATTACAAAAGCTTTATTTCATCCCAGTTTTGTTTCATTTTGGTTGTTTTGTTTTGTTTTAAATAAAGGTCTCACTATGTAACCCTGGTTAGCCTGGAACTGTCTACGTAGACCAAGCTAGTCTCAAATTTGTGACAGTCCACCTGCTTTGCCCCCCCACCAAGTGCTTGAGATTACAGATGTGTGCCACCATACCAGGCTTCATTTTAGTTTCAGTGATTACTAATATCTATAATACTTAAAACACTTGACAAAATTATATAAAGGTTACAGAAGATCTAAGAAAGGCTAGAGAATCTATAGAATTTTGAAAGATAATGCAGAGGTGATACAGGGACTATGGAGATGACTCAGTTGGTTAAGTGCTCAATGACAAGCATAAGGATTTGGGTTCAAATCGCTAGCACCCATGTAAAAAACCAGGTATGATGGTACATGCCTATAATCTTAGCATGGAGGAAAGGACAGGAGGATCCCTGGGGCTTGCTAGCCAGCTAGTCTAACTAAATTGGTGAGCTCCAGGGTTAGTGAGAGATCTTGTCTCAAAACGTAAGGTGGAGACCAACTGAGGAAGATACCTGACATTGACCTCTAGCCTCTACTTGCATATGCACATACATGCATGCACACACACACACACACACAAAATGCAGCAAGCCAATACAGAGGGTCAATACAAATGCAGAGCTCTGCAACTAATCGGATATTGGGTTGAGATATCTTCAAAGTGGGCAGTACCAATGCCAAGGAAAATCATTGTAAGTTGAATCCAGGACAATTAGAAGTTTATCACCTATCAATTTGCAGGGCAAAAATCATGACAAATAAATTGGAGGGGTCCATGACAGTGACAGGCTTGTGGGCCATGCTGCAGTCTGTGGCATCTCTCCTTTTATGCATCTTGGGTGAAAGGGTTGTAGCATTTGTTGTCTGGTGTGTCTAATAAATTCTCAGGAGATAACTTTTTATTAACACAAACAATTCACTTGCCAGTCTGTGCTTTATGGTTGTCCTGGGAAGGTGGCACTTGTTAATATGTACTAATAAGATGCCAAGTTGGAGACTAGTGAGAGGGCCAGGAATGGGGGGAGGCTCTTGCTGTCAAGCCTGAATGACCCAAGTCATCAATCCCTGTGTCAATCCCTGTGACCCACATCATGGAAGGAGATGGACTCCAGCAAGTTATTCTCTGACCTCCACCAGTGTCCTTTGGTATGAATGCCCTAACTCCCCAAATAAAGAAATGCTATGTCATTCTACCTTAGCATTTATACCCCAAGTGGAGTGACTCAGGGAAAACCTGCTGTATACAAAATAGAATAACTCAGGACAGAACATAGACTGCTCTTTATAGGGAAAAGGTAACATCTAGGATTATCAGGGGCCTGGGCCTAGCATATGAGCAGAAGTCTTTCTGACAACACCTTAATAGTGATTCTTGTCCTTGAGGTCCAAAAAAAAGAATACAGCAAACAGAAGCAAAGTCATTCTTTGGTACTGGTTAGACAAAGCTCCAGGCAAGACAAGAGGGATTCCACCTTCCAGGAAACGTGAGGTCAGAGGTAGGAGCTGCACCCATCAGTAGGTTTTATTACACACAAAGCTAACTGGGCCTGGCCCACCCCACTGGTGTCTTGCAGAGTATCTGGAGGAGAACTGTTCGATTTTCTGGCCCAGAAGGAGTCACTAAGTGAAGAGGAGGCCACCAACTTCATTAAGCAGATCCTGGATGGGGTAAACTATCTTCACTCAAAGAAAATTGCTCACTTTGATCTCAAGGTCAGTAATCAGTGTAAAGCAAAAGAACAGAGTTTAGGAAGAAGGGTCCTTGTCCCCATGTCATTGTTGGGAGGGGTCCAATACCCAGTGGCCTGCTCTTCTTTGCGTCACACTGAAAACTTTCAATCCCCCATCGCAAGTGTCCACCTCCTCGATTTCACTTCTCCTATCTTTCTACATATGGGGCTGACTGCAAGGAGCTTTTGATTGGCTATAGACCCCTATCTCTTCCAGGAAATAGGTGGGGCATACTTTTTAAATAAGTAACTTGAAACCAAACCCATTTCACAAGACCAAACTTATCGACTATGAGTGGGCAAAACTAGCAAGGTTTGGAGAATTGCTGAGGTAGGTGGACACTGTAGACCAACCCTCCTCCAGAGATTGTAAATCTTGGAGCCCAAGGACCATTGGCTGCTCCTACCTCAAATTACTGTCAAATTAGGGCCATAAAACTGCTTTCCAGGACCCACTGATCTTTTTTGGTAACTGGTGTTCAGAATCAAGAAAGTTCACTGTGACCACATAGATCTGTATGAAACAAGAATGTGGTCAAAGCAGAAGGAGTGGCTCCTTTAGTAACTGAGATCAGCCACTCAGATTGATAGGCCTTTGCAGACACTAAACACGTAGAGGTTGTTGGACTGATAAGACCTGTTTATGGGAAGATACCCATCTACTATTTTTTGTTGTTGTTCATTGCTTATTTGTTTTTGAGATATGATCTTATGTAGCCCAGGCTGACCTCAAACTTACTATGTAGTCAAGGCTGGCCTTGATCTCTTGATCTTCCTGCTTCCACTTCCCAGACTGGAATTACAGCTGTACCTGGCTATCTATTCAGTCTTTTTGTTTGTTTTTTGTTTTTTTGAGACAGGGTGTCTCTGTAGCCCTAGCTGGCCTGGAACTCACTGTGTAGACCAGGCTGGCCTTGAACTCACAGAGATCCGCCTGCCTCTCTGCCTCCCCAGTGCTGGGATTAAAGGTGTGCACCACCACACCCAGCCTCTATTCAGTCTTTTATGCAAAAACTCCTGTGATCTTTAATGCACCATGCTGAGTTCCTACCTGGACTTAGTTCCTTTTTTCTAAGGAGCTTAGTGCAGGACACAGATAGAAGTGGGGATGGGAGTATGAGACCAAAGGAGAAGATATCTAACTCACACTGGAGTTCCCATAAAGGACTTCCTAGAAAAGCTGGCATTTGAGTTTTCTGAAGTATTAACAGGGATTAACAGAGGGGAAGGACCTTCTAAGGAAGAAAAGCAAACAATGTATATGATCATGAAATAGCACGACGTATTCAAGGAAGTACAGAAAGGGGGACTGTGTGTTGGGTGGCTGGGAAAGAGGCCAGGAAGAAGGCAAAAGGCAAACAAAAGAAGTAGAAACTGAGCCAAGAAGGTTGCCCTTTACCCTGAGAGATACTGAGCCAGATGAGCAGGTGTGTATTTCAGCTTGATCTCTCTAGCTGGGAAGATGGGTAGAGCAGGGACAACTGGGTAGCTAGAAGCCCAGCCCAGGAACTAATGCAGTAATTTAGACGAGATGTGCTAAGGGGTAGATTCAAGACCTATTGCCAAGGTCACCCCAAGAATTGCTTAGGTTCCTAATTCCTTGTGGAGATGAGGGAGAGGGCAGCATCCAGGATGATACTGACCCAGAGAGTGTATGGCATGCACACAGTCTCACAGCAACTACATCAGGGTTTGGGCTCAGTTCCTGCACATGGGTCCCTGTCTCAGCTCTTACACAGAAGTTCCCTTAGTTGGTCCCCATCCTGAGGCTGATTGTTGAAGAATTTTGAGTTCTTTTTACTAAAGATATCTTTCAGAGTTCCCTCAGGTGTCATAAAGTAAAAGCTGGAGGCCCAGAGGAGAGTGAGACCTGGCAGACATTTAGACCTCAGGGTGGTGACACAACAAGCAGGAAATGGTCTATCTGGATTGCATCTGTATCCCCTTCTTGGTAATACCATGGACAGTTAACTTGTTTTCTTGTGTCTCCTATAGATGACCTCAAAATAGGATCCTTTGTCTTTTCTTTAATGGCTAGTGGAGGTGGAAAGGGATGCTCATGGTGTTGGGGAGAGTGCTGAGTTCGAGTCAGTTTGGTCAAGCTTTCTGCCTCACTGTGCCACATACCAGAAAGGCATCTGAACTTCAGTTTCTCAGCATTGTGGTCCATAGCACCATCTGCTTGGCAGAGTTGTCATCAGAGGGAAGCTGCAGTGTTTTAAGCCTTGCATCCAGGATAGGTGTTGAATATTGTAATTGTTACTTTCTTTCCCAGAAAAGTGGAAAAGAAAACAACTCTCGTTACAATCGTTTGGGCCTTCCTAGGCTAGGAAAACAAACTCTGCTACTGTTGTCCTACCCTGCCCTGCAGAGAGCTGAGATGACTGCTACGTGGGGGCTGCTGTTGAGGCTATTCCTAGCTCCTGGTTCAGTTTAGATATTTTCCATTACCTAGAGACAGTCTGGGTTTCTGCTAACACTTGCAGAGGAGGATGCTGCTTAGCCTACCATAGCCACACATCCTCAGAGTGTATGGATTCTGAGCTGCTGATTCCCCTTCCTGTGGGTTCCTTGGCCCAGGCCCAGAAGTGAAGAACAGCCGGAATGCAAGGGATTGCCTCATGGCTGAGGAGACACCTCCTGCACTCAGAAAGTGGCTTTGCATGTCATCAGGCGGGAATTTTCTACCAGCTGGGTGTGAGAGGTATAAAGCCAGCTGGCAGCTTAGAAGATATCTTTTGGTTACATGTTGGCTCCCACCATCTAAAATCCACATAGACTTGGTTTTCCTTCTTCATGAAGGGTCTCTGTTTTCTCCTACTGCTTCTGTTGTGACTCTTCAAGAAAACCTGGCTAGCCTGGCTGCCCCAGGACAGCCACCATGTCATCTCCATGTTCCATCCATAGCCTCTTCTCTGAGCCCCCTTTCCAGCTTGAAGGAGCCATGGCTGAGGAAGGTCTGCTCTCTGGCCTGCCTTTTCAATATGAATGTATTCCTTGGCAGCTGTCTTAGTTTCTTTTCCTAATGCTGTGATACACATAAAAAATAAAAGCTCTTGAGCTCCTTCTTTCCCTTTATCCCCTAGGTTCCTTGTATACCCTTCCCTCCCCCCTCCCTTAAACTAACCCAATTTTTATCCATATCTCCCTTATTAAGGCCTGTTTCCTACTGTTCTTCTCTTTCAGGTTATTTCTTTTCCTTTACCTCCCTGGTTCCTTTTCATTATCCTGGTTCCTGTAAGTTATGTCTGGTTACATACTTATCAGAGTCTGGTTCTAGGATCCACATATGAGGGAGAACATATGTCGATTTTTTTCTGAGTCTGTGTTACTTCACTTAGTATAACAGTTTCTAGTTCCATCCATTTGAGGTAGGACCATAGAGAAGGGTATTAGTAAGGAGAAAGGGGGGAAATGGGAGCACTTTAAGTGGGAAAACCATGATGGAGGGGTGAGACAATGTGAGAGATAAACAATACCTAGTTAATTTTGAAAACCAGAGAGAACCATCGTACTCCTACAACCTACTTACAAATTATACATTGCAGATCAAGAAATATATGTGTAGGTAAGGTTTATCTGAGAACAACTGGTCTTTGCTCAAGATTTATCTACATGACACACAATAATGAAAAGTACCAGACTGGTGGAACTAACCTTCTTGGATGTTTAACAGACATATTTTGAAGCCTATACTTATTTGGTCAG